AGACGGGGTTTCACCATGTTGACCAGGATGGTCTCGATCTCTTGACCTCGTGATCCACCCGCCTCGGCCTCCCAAAGTGCTGGGATTACAGGCTTGAGCCACCGTGCCCGGCCTTCTTCAGATCTTAATTGTTCCAGGATACTGCTTAGCTCTCCTTCCTTGGTGCCTATATGGGCGGTTACCCACATCAGTATAGTTACCACAAACATACCACAGGAATAATATTGTACTAGAAAAAGTTTAAGAATCAATGCCAACTTACCACAATCACCAACCCTAAAGCTGTCAGAAAGAGACTTGATGTAATCTTCACTGCCCCAGGAAGTTGCATTTACAAAATGTGCTGGTGAATCCCGAATGGTGAAGCTGAAAGTGTATCTTTCTGATCCAATATCTAAGGGAAAACCAGTGCTTTTATTTTTCAAATAAAGGGTTTCAATCACTTCTCCGCCTTTTAATAAGTGTCACATGAAGTTTCAATTCTGAACAAATGATTATTTCATTAATCAAATGATTCTTTATTATGATGATAAAAATACTCAAACGCATGGTACAAAATGTTATTTCAGATGTATATTCTATAACGTTATGCTTCTATGAATTTCAAACTGAAGTGGTAAGAAGTTGCCCCCTTGATCCCTTCCCTGGTTATCTGTGTATTTGGGGGAAAAGACATGTAAATTTGAGCTATCCAGGTATTACCTTAGGTTCTCCTTTTCTTATTGTTGTTTGAACCTAAGTCATAATTCAGATTTAAATAGTTATTTCAGTCCCAGCTACTTGAGAGGATGAAGCAGACGGATTGCTTAAGCCCAGTAGTTCAAGGCTTCAGTGAGCTGTGATTGCACCACTGCTCTCCAGCCTGGGTGACAGAGAAAGGCCCCGTCTCTAAAATAAAAATAAAAATAGCCCAAGCATGGTGGCTCACACCTGTAATCCCAACATTTTGGGAAGCTGAGGTGGGTGGATCACCTGAGGTCAGGAGCTCAAGACCACCCTCGCCAACATGGTGAAACCCCATCTTTACTAAAAATACAAAACTTAACCAGGCGTGGTGGTGGACACCTGCAGTCCCAGCTACTTGGGATGCTGAGGCAGCAGAATCACTTGAACCTGGGAGGCAGAGGTTGCAGTCAGCCAAGATCCAGTCTGGGTGACAAGAGTCAAACTGTCTCAAAAATAATAATAATAAAACTTGGCTGCACACAGTGGCTTACCCCTGTGATCCCAGGACTCTGGGAGGCTGAGGTGGGAGAACCACTTGAGGCCTGGAGTTCAAAACCAGCCTGAGCAACATAGAGAGATCCCATCTCTACAAAAAATTTTAAAATTAATGGTGGACTGGTCTTTCCTCTCAGCTACTAGGGAGGCTGAGGAGGAAGGGTCACCTGAGCCCAGTTTAAGTGTGTAGTGAGCTTTGAATGCACCACTGTACTCCATCCTGGGAAGAATAAGTTCAGGGTGTTTATGAACCGTACACCTAGGCTGGAGTGCAGTGATGCGATCTCTCAGCTCACTGTAACCCCTGACTCCCAGTTCAAGTGATTCTCCTGCCTCAGCCTCCCGAGTAGCTGGGACTACAGGCGCTATTTATGCCAGGCTAATTTTTATATTATTTTAGTAGAGACGGGGTTTTTCAGTAGAGGTGGGGAAGAACAGAGTGAGATCCTGGATCTAAAAAACTTAAAATAATTTTTTAAAATAATTATTTGAAAACAAATTATGTGCTACTTAATGAGGACCACTAGGGGTCAGCAAATAGTTTTTTTCCAGAACAGAAATTTAATATTGGTTTTCCTAATTAAAAATTACAACAGGTAGGCCGGGCACGGTGGCTCAAGCCTGTAATCCCAGCACTTTGGGAGGCCGAGGCGGGTGGATCACGAGGTCAAGAGATCGAGACCATCCTGGTCAACATGGTGAAACCCCGTCTCTACTAAAAATACAAAAAATTAGCTGGGCATGGTGGCACGTGCCTGTAATCCCAGCTACTCAGGAGGCTGAGGCAGGAGAACTGCCTGAACCCAGGAGACGGAGGTTGCAGTGAGCCGAGATCGCGCCATTGCACTCCAGCCTGGGTAACAAGAGCGAAACTCCGTCTCAAAAAAAAATTACAACAGGCCAGCATGGTGGCTCACGCCTATAATCCCAGAATTTTGGGAGACTGAAGCAGGCAGATCACAAGGTCAAGATTGAGACCATCCTGGCCAACATGGTGAAACTCCGTCTCTACTAAAATACAAAAAGTTAGCCAGGTGTAGTGGCGTGCACCTGCAATCACAGCTACTTAGAAGCCTGAGGCAGGGGAATTGTTGAACCCGGGAGGCGGAGGCTGCAGTGAGCCGAGATCATACCACTGCACTCCAGCCTGGCAACAGAGCAAGACTCCATTTTATTTTATTTTATTTTATTTTATTTTATTTTATTTTATTTTATTTTTATTTTTTATTTTATTTTATTTTTTTTGAGACGGAGTTTTGCTGTTGTTGCCCAGACTGGAGTGCAATGGCGCGATCTGGGCTCACCGCAACCTCCGCCTCCTGGGTTCAAGCAATTCTCAGGCCTCAGCCTCCCGAGTAGCTGGGACTACAGGCATGCACCATCATGCCCAGCTAATTTTTGTATTTTTAGTAGAGACGGAGTTTCACCTTGTTGACCAGGATGGTCTCGATCTCTTGACCTCGTGATCCACCCGCCTCAGCCTCCCAAAGTGCTGGGATTACAAGCTTGAGCCACCGCGCCCGGCCCAAGACTCCATTAAAAAAAAAAAAATTACAACCACCAGGCATGGTGGCTCAACCCTGTAATCCTAGCACTTTGGGACACCAAGGCTGGTAGATCACAAGTTCAAGAGATGAAGACCATCCTGGCCAACATGGTGAAACCCCGTCTCTACTAAAAATACAAAAATTAAGGCTGGGTAAGATGTCTCACACCTGTAATCCCAGCATTTTGGGAGGCCGAGGCAGGCGGATCACCTGAGGTCGGGAATTTGAGACCAGCCTAACCAATATGGAGAAACCCTGCCTCTACTAAAAATACAAAATTAGTCAGGTGTGGTGGTGCATGCCTGTAATCCCAGCTACTCGGGATACTGAGGCAGGAGAATTGCTTGAACCCAGGAGGCGGAGGTTGTGGTGAGTTGAGATCACACCATTGCACTCCAGCCTGGGCAGAAGAGAAAAAAAAAGAAAAAAGAAGACTTTAAAGCTAATAGTAGTGAACTGCAAGTTTTACCATTCTACTTATTTTTTGTTTTGTTTTTTGAGACACAGTCTTGTTTTGTTGCCAGTCTGGAGTGCAGTGGTATGATCTCTGCTCACTGCAACCTTCACCTCCCAGGTTCAAGTGATTCTCCTGCCTCAGCCTCCTGAGTAGCTGGGATTACAGGCACATGCCACCACGCCTGGCTAACTTATAGAATTTTAGTAGAGACGGGGTTTCACCATGTTGGCCAGGATGGTCTCGATCTCCTGACCTTGTGATCCATGCGCCTCAGCCTCCCAAAGTGCTGGGATTACAGGCATGAACCACTGTGCCCAGCCTACCATTCAATATTTTATCTTTCAAGCCGGGCGCGGTGGCTCAAGCCTGTAATCCCAGCACTTTGGGAGGCCGAGGCGGGTGGATCACGAGGTCAAGAGATCGAGACCATCCTGCCCAACATGGTGAAACCCCGTCTCTACTAAAATACAAAAAATTAGCTGGGTGTGCTGGCAGGTGTCGGTAGTCCCAGCTACTTGGGAGGCTGAGGCAGGTGGATCATGAGGTTAGGAGTTTGAGACCAGCCTGGCCAAGTTAATGAGTTGACCATTTTAACCAGTTATTTTGCCATTGTATACCTAAAACATGTAGGCCAGGCACAGTGGCTCACACCTGTAATCCCAGCACTTTGGGAAGCCAAGGCAGTTGGATCATGAGGTTAGGAGTTCGAGACCAGCCTGGCCAACATGGTGAAACCCCATCTCTATAAAAACACAAAAATTGGCCGGGCGTGGTGGCTCACGCCTATAATCCCAGCACTTTGGGAGGCCGAGGCGGGTGGATCACGAGGTCAAGAGATCAAGACCATCCTGGTCAACAAGGTGAAACCCCGTCTCTACTAAAAATACAAAAATTAGCTGGGCATGATGGTGCGTGCCTGTAATCCCAGCTACTCGGGAGGCTGAGGCAGGAGAATTGCTTGAACCCAGGAGGCGGAGGTTGCGGTGAGCTGAGATCGCGCCATTGCACTCCAGCCTGGGTGACAAGAGCGAGACTCCGTCTCAAAAGAAAAAAAAAAAAAACACACAAAAATTAGCTGGGTGTGATGGCAGGTGCCTGTAATCCCAGCTAATAGGGAGGCTGAGGCAGGAGAATCGTTTGAACACAGAAGGTGGAGGTTGCAGTGAGTCGAGATCTCACCACTGCACTCCAGCCTGGGTGATAGGGCAAGACTACGTCTTAAAGAAGAAAAAAAAAGAAACATCAAATAAAATCATTAAAAATGATTTTCAGGCCAGGTGCAGTGGCTCATGTCTGTAATCCGAGCACTTCTAGAAAGAAGCCAAGGTTGGTAGATCACTTGAGATTAGGAGTTCGAGACCAGCCTGAGCAACATAGCAAAACCCATCCCTACAAATACAAAAAGTGAGCTGGATGTGGGGATGTGGCAGTGTGCACCTGTAGTCCTAGCTACTCAGGAGACTGAGTGGGACAGAATGGCCTGACCCTGAAAGGCAGACATTGCAGTGAGCTGAGATTGTGCCATTGCACTCCAGCCTAGGTGACACAGAAAAACTCTGTCCAAAAAAAAAAAAAAAAAAGGTTTTACTGTCCTCACTCCTATAGCTTTGAATCAGAGACGATGGCCAGTGCCCTTAGGGAATTAAACAGGCAAAGAAAATTAATCTCTTAAATAGACTTTGTTATAGTCAAAAGCCAAAGTTGATGAAAAATGAAGCAAAGAGTTAAAGAGAACTCAGCTTTTTCTGTCTGGAAATCCTCTGACATCTGTTTTCCCAATAACTATACCGATTATTTTCTGAAAAACAAAAAGGTTACAGAAGACCAATATTAAACACAGATGTACATGGTAAATTTAATTTCATGGGCTTGTTATATTTTACTGGCTTTAACAAACATTTCTGACTAGGAACCATTTAAATGTATTTATTGCAGACAAACATCTAAAAGAATTTCATAAATGTTCAATTCTACAAGGAATAGTACAAAGTAATCCAAAAGTTTACTACTACAAATATAATCATTTAACACACCATATTTCTACTTTATTTTCTTTTTTCTTTCTTTCCTTTTTTTTTTTTTTTTTTTAAGACAGAGTCTCGCTCTGTCACCCAGGCTGGAGTGCAGTGGCGCAATCTCAGCTCACTGCAACCTCCACCTCCCAGGTTCAAGTGATTCTCCTGTCTCAGGCTCTCAAGTAGCTGGGACTACAGGCGCCTTTGACCATGACCAGCTAATTTTTTGTATTTTTAGTACAGATGGGGTTTCGCTGTGTTAGCCAGGATGGTATCAATGTCCTGACCTCATGATCTATGCGCCTCAGCCTCCCAAAGTGCTAGGATTACAGGTGTGAGCCACCGCACCCAGCCTCTACTTTATTTTCAATCACTAGATGGAGCACAATAACTGCCGTATGCTATCAATCTTTATTTAATTGACCCAAAGCACAAGACAATGCAGTTTAATTTGCCATCATCTTAAAAGCTTTCCTTTATATAGGGTGTTCTAATAATCCACATAAAATTGCTTTTCTCTTAATCCAAACATGCTGGACAGTGATATAAATTAGACTATAACAAAACTTATATTTTGCTGCTAATAAATCTAAATTCTAAAGTCCTCGATCTTAAACCTTAGAGATATTAACATCTCCTTAAAATGTTTAATATTCTCTTTAGTGACTACCGAAGACAAATTTTAAATGTGCTTTTATTTCTCTTTTTCTTTTTTGCCAGGTAAGTATGAAACGTGCTTTAAGATTAAAAAAACAGGCCGGGCGCGGTGGCTCAAGCCTGTAATCCCAGCACTTTGGAAGGCTGAGGCGGGTGGATCACGAGGTCAAGAGATCGAGACCAT